TCTCCCTCTCTCTCCCTCTCTCTCCCTCTCTCTCTCCCTCTCTTTCTTTTTTGGTTCTTTGAGACAAGCTCTTGCTATGTAGTTCAGGCTGGCTTTGAACTCACTATGTAGCCCAGAATGGCCTCAAACTTGAGTCAGTCCTCCTGCCTCAGCCTCCTGAGTGCTGTAATTACAGGTATGCACCACCACTTCTTCCTTGTTGAGATTTTTTTTTTGAGATGTTTTTAAAGTCTATTTTAAATAATCAGCAGATTTTCTCTGTAGCTCTTTAACGTCCTTCTAATGTATCAATTGAAGAAGGTAGATATTTTTGACTGCAGAATTTCTGTGATCTGGGTTTTGTTGATTCAATCCTTGTGGTGCAGTTAAAAATGTCTTTCTTACAGATTTTTCTGTAAACTAGAAGGTGGTTTCAGAGGCTTGATCATTCTGATGAATAATAAAAATCTTCTGATGGTGACTATTTAAAAAGTATAATAAACTCAGATTTGAATGCATTTGATGATTTTCAAATGATTGCAAATATTATATAATTTTGAAGTGGAATTTCTTTCATCTTTGGTCACTGGAAGTCTTCTCCAATTGGCTACTTGATCCTTTAGTATGACTCTAGTAATCTTTGATATCTGCTGTGACAAGATGTTCCAAGTTCATTTTGTAGATTTTCTGTCCTCTAAGAAGCCTTGGCTTATCATATCAGGTAATAGTATTGCAAGATCACAATCTGGGCCCTGTAATGCTCATAGTTAGTGGATTGATCAGTGTTATTAGGACATTACAGCAAACACAGCCAGACAATAGATATGTTGTATAGATCCAGACTATGTTGTATAGATGCCTATGAGTTCACCTATATATGTGTAATTTACATATGAGACTCTAGAGACTTTACCATACCCCTTCCATATTGAAGTTAAAATTAGAATATTCCATAATTATTCATTGATTTGTCTCACATTGGACACACAATAGTCCTAAAACACTTATTTCTAACAATAAATATGACTACTAAAAATGACTACTAAAAATGACTGAAAACATTTTGCCTGGGCTCTATGCATTCTTTTGCTATTTTAAAAAATGTTGTACTGTATTTACATTGCCAGAGTATATACCTAGTACAGTTGTCAGACTATTGTTAAGTACTTTGAGTGAAAAAAGGCTTAAAACAATATCTACAAATATAAATTATAGAATTAAAGGTTAATTTGACAACAAAATTAATATTTCTATATCACAGAAAATTTTATTTAGAAAGTGATAAAAACAGATTCACAAAAGATATCTGTAGCATATATAAGATAATATAGGAAAGGTATCTATATTATCTGAAGAATATCTCTATGTTATTTCAAAATTAGACAAGGACTTAAGACAAAAATTTATCTTTTCTCTGTTCTCTCATTTTCTCTACTTAGCTTTACAGACACTACAAAGTGTTCAGACTTCCTAAAGACTCTTCTGCTAAAATAGCTTGTGTCACAAGATATTTGAGTGAATGAGCAGACCTTCCTTGGCAGCTAGAAGCAGGATGATTTTTTTTGTTTTTTAAATAAGACAATATTATAAAATAGAGCTCATAGCAATATAAAGAACTATACAATAGTCTCTCTCCTAGCACTATCCCCAAGTCCCATTCTAATCACTATATCCCCAATGGAACTACTATTCTGTGTTCCCTTCCAGACTTTTCTTCATGAAGATATGTATGATTATAAATTAATTTTAACTTTTTTTTT